GCCGCCTGCCAGCTTCAGTGTAAATATTGCGTCAAAATCAAATCATTTTGAGCACGATTTAAACCCGGATTATTGTAACCACTCTTAAGTTTGTCTGCCTTGGGAAAGCTAGCGTGTCTCCGACATAGTGATAACACTCGTTGCCTTCTCTAGTGCAGCTCAAGCAGAGTGCAATCGGTAAAAGGTCTAGAGACGGGCGTGACAGGCAGGCGTGATAAAATGTACTTTGATAAGTGTAGAATTGCACTGTCTGTTTACCAGTGTTGGGGAAAGTTAACTTTTAAAAGTAATGCATTACAATATTGCGTTACTCCATAAAAAAGTAACTAATTACGTTACTTAGTTACTTTTGTAACTCGCGTTACTTGTAATGCGTTACCCCCAACACTGCTGTTTACTCACTAGCATCAGTGAGTGTAAACAGTGAGAGATGCTGAGACAGGTGAAAAGCGTTTGGTTAATAGTGAATATTGACCTATTGTGCGTACCGTTGTGGCTCGCTGTTAGCTGGGGATAATCGCTGCATTTGGGGTAAAAAAGACAAAATTATGTATTGTGCCAAGAAGTTTGCACTGTCTGTTCGTTCACACAGGCACGAACTGATTGGCAGCTGCCTTCAGCGGAGCCTTTACCGATTACCTCTATTGATCAAAGCATTCGGCACGGTCGTCTGTGAGTGACGTCACCTCCCAATACAAACACGCCCCATAGTATAATCCCGCCCCTGACAATGATTGGCAGCTTTACGTGTAGACATCGGAAATTCAAATGCAAAAGGAATTGCGATTCCATTTGAGTTTTGGCAGGTTACATGTGCGACGCAGCGAGAGTGAAAAAGCAGACGTGGTAATTAATATTACTATTTAAATATGACAGGCTCATAACTCCTAAGACATGGAAAATACAGTTGCAAATGGACTTTGCTTTTTAATTTGAAATTTGGCAGTCACTGTGCGTTCGAGAAAGCGAAAACGCAAACGGTACTGCAGGATTTGCAATTGCATTTGGATTATGTCACAATTTATGCGTCCACATATGGAAAACGCAATTGAAAATACAATTTGCAATTCCTTTTGAAAATAGTCCGGAATATCCTTCCATAGCTAGCAGATCGACCTGTATTTAGGGGGGAGCGAGGGGAAATAACAACAACAACAAAAAAATAAGAACAACAACAAAAAAAGTTAGTCTGTCTAATGATTGTAATGAGTCACACTGGATACTTTTTTAGCGGTAATGTGACCAAAAATATTTATTCAAGACATTTTAAGACTTTTTAAGGACTTTTTAAGACACCCTGTAATACCTTCAGGCTAAAACTATTAACATAAAAAAACAGAGCTATAAAAACAGATGGAAACTTTGAAAACTCATGTAGAAGTTGGAAAGTGTACTGATGGATCAATCTTTGGATCCTCGGCTGTGGCAGATGATGTTGAATGGCTCAGGCGAGCGGACTAAACTGACAATCCCATTCATGTCTGGCCACTTCGCACCAGGTGGCCAGGAGAAACAAATCTGCTGTAAGAGAGAAGTGACGAAGAGGAAGAGCTCCATCTTAGCTAGGGTCTCACCGAGACACACCCTCGGACCTGATAAATACAGAAAACACAATCGGCATCAACATAGTTGTGTTTGCACTTGGTCTACTGAAGTCGTAGTCACAGGTGACTCACCCAACGAGAAAGGTAGGAAAGACTCTGGTCTGAAGAAATGTCCATTATCATCTAAGAAATTCTCTAGGTTAAAAGCGTCTGGGTACTTCCAGTGCTCCTTATCACTTAAAATTGCTGTTAAGTTAGTAAATACCGTGGTGCCCTAAAAACACAAAATGTGTTAGAAAAACAATTTCAATCAAGAATCACAACACAACTATGCTCCATTCATTACCTTGGGAATGTCGAATCCTCTTAGTTTTGTGGGCTGAGTCGTTTCATGAAACACGCCAGAGGGTACAATGTTGGCATAGCGCTGAATCTCATGAACAGTGGCATATGTGTACGGTAGTTTGTCACGGTCATCCATGCTGGGCAAACGGTCGTAACCCAGCACCCGAACAATCTCCTCGTGACATCGCTCTGTAATGAAACGAAAGCTGATGGTGTATGTTTTTCAATGTTAGAATTGTGACATACTGTGTGCATTACACTGGCTTCCGCCTTCTAGCCATGCTCTTCCGTTAAAGAGGTGCAATAGTCCAGATTTTCAAGAAATCAACTTTAATCCAGTACAAATTTGACAGGTATTTATGCGTTTGTGTGGTTTCCTATAAATAAATGTAGAAGATACAAAGTTACAACACTATTTAACATCACTGAATTAAAGTATGTACATCTTTACATATATAAGTGGCATTTCTAATCAATATACATTGTGTAACACAGCTGTGGAAATGATGACGCAGTTACAATAAAACTGCGCTGTTCAAAATGGCATCATTAATGCGTGTCTTATATAAACACCATGATTCCCACTTATTGACGCAATA